TGGTTTGGTTTTCTTTGGGCCTGATATGTCTTCAGAGGTCGAGGCCTCCTGGTATCTTTGATATGCCCAATGGTCGATACTATGGCAGAAGTATCTATGCTGAAATTATATTCTGACAGTCGAGGTGCTTCTTTGGACTCGGTATCCCTATCGAAACCACTCTTGCTCATGAGCCCTCGGGAGTTTTGTCCCTTGTCATTCCTTCTACCATTCCGAACAGAGTTGTGCCCACACTCGCTATTTCTTTGATCTTTCCCGTATGGCTGATATTGGTCTCTGTTCGATTGTGGTTTTCGATCGACATCCCTTCTAACTCTTTCCACAGACCTATTGGGATAAATCAAACAAAGTGGAGCCCCTAATTGATCGTCTTCGACCCTAATCTTCGACTGATATCGATTATGTACATCGGACCAAGTGACTACTGGGTATTCGATCAAATTTTGCTTTAATTGTTGTGAAGCTATAGAACTCCGCTCGTTGAGACCTTGAGTGAAGGCTTGAACAGCCCAATCGTCGGTGACCGGTGGCAAATCCATCTGTTCCATTTGAAATCGAGATACAAATTCGTTGAGCATCTCGTTGTCTTTTTGCCTTACTTTAAATAGGTTCAATTTTCTAGTTGCAACCTTAATGGCTCCAGCGTGAGCCTTTGTAAAGGAATCTGCAAGCATAGCAAATGAATCAATAGTGTTAGGCGGAAAATTATGATACCATATCATAGCACCCTTTGATAGAGTTTCTCCAAATTTCTTCAGCAACATGTATTCAATTTCATCATCTTCCAAGTCATTTCCTTTGATGGCGCATGTGTATAAGGTAACATGTTCATTTGAATCAGTGATCCCGTTGTATTTAGGGATCTCAAGCATACAGAATTTTTTGGGAATTTGCTTAGGAGCCGCACTTGGGGGAAAAGGCTTCTGCACGAACTTCTTCGAATCCAATCATTTCAGAATCGGTGGTTCCCCCGGAAATTGGTCAATCCTGGAGTTATAAGTTTCCACCTTCTTATAATTTTCCTCAATCTTCTTTTCCCCTATCTCGAGCCGCTTCGTCAGTTCCTCGAGCATTTTTACGATAGAGAGATTAGTCTTCGATTCTACTTCATTCGATCTCTTTGGCACCGATTTGGCTCTATGAACAACTTCTAGTGATGACTCGAGCTCGTTCCTGCTAGGTATAGGATTCTGATTTTAGAGTTGTGTTATTGCAGCTTGTTGAGTCTGCAACAACTCGAATATCATTCGAAGGCTAATTCTGCCTTCTTCACCACTTTGTGCGTTCTGATTCGCTGCTCGAGCATCTCTGCGGATGCTATTTTTAGGGTCGATGCCCAAATTCCCATTAATGGAAATATGGGAGCTGACGTCAATTGGGTCCACGGCCGGGGGCCCATCGGGGTTGACTGGAGGTACTCCGTTTCCCGGGGCGGCTATGTTATCATTTTCAACGTGGAAACCAAGGCCATTGTCTCTATGTGTTGGTGCTACTTGAGAGTTTGACATGTTGATCCTAAAATCAAAAATACTTTCAAGAACAAGCGTAAAACAGTGTGTGTTATGAGAATTAATACCAAACAATCACTATTATCCTTAGCCCCACGGTGGATGCTAAATTATTTACCCTTAAAATCGAATAACAATTAAACTTATAATGGTTTTAAAGATATGTAATTTCACCTAGCACCAATTGATAAATATGATGATTAATAGTAGAAATGAACAACAAAGTAAAGCAAACCAGTATTGAAAAGCAATTCAGTCTTCGAGCTAGGCCTCTCTCGAACTGATTGAATGAGAGTAGAGTTATGAAACTAACTGATGGATAGGAGAGTATAAGAGAAAAGAGTATTGTATTACTTTGATATGCGTCAATGTAAGATTCTTACAGAATGATTAGACCACTCTTTATATAGTAGAAGAATCTTATTTATGGTACAATTCTAATTACAGAAGTAAATCCCATAATAGGCTAAATAACTACTTTTGATTTGATCTGTTCCGAGATTTTTTCCATGATCCTCAGCGAGTCACGGATATCTCGCCTTTCCGTTATTACGCTATCTTCGGTTTCGCTCGATGTCTATCCTGTTTGGCCTCGATCATCACCGGTCTCGATCTCGACAGGTGGTTCGAATCTCGAACTCGGTGTCTTATCCTCATACCTCGGTCTGACATACTACGGGGTTGATCCTCGGTCAATTCCCTATCTCGATCAACTAGCAAAACCGGGCGGGCCTAATTTTAACCATATACAATGTTCCCTATTCCATTGCTAACTATGTGTTCTATGATAGACTTTCTCCAAAATACCAGGCCTATTTGACAGCATTTTCTGCAATCCAGCAGCCTACTTATTTTGAGCAAGCTGGTCAAGATCCTAGGTGGGTTGAAGCTATGCAAGCTGAAATTACTGCACTAGAATCCAATCACACTTGGGATGTGGTGTCTTTACCTGAAAACAAGGTGACTTTTGGTTGTAAGTGTATCTATTAGGTGAAGTACAAAGCTACAGGAGAGGTGGAGAGGTTCAAAGCCAAGCTGGTGGCCAAAGGGTACAGCCAACAGGAGGGCATTGACTACCAAGAAATATTTAGTCCAGTAGTTAAGATGGTTACTGTTAGAACCATCATAGCTGTGGTTGCCTCTGAATATTGGCACATTCATCAAATGAATGTGTACAATGGTTTTCTTCAAGAAGATCTCTATGATGAGATATACATGACCTTACCACAGGGCTTTTAGAGTTAGATGGAGACAAGACCAGCATGCAGACTTTTGAAATCTCTGTATGGGCTTAAGCAAACATCAAGACAGTGGAATGCTAAGCTGTCTGAGGCACTTCTGAGGTTTGGCTTCATGCAAAGCCAACATGATCACTCCCTGTTCATTAAAGAGTCAGGGGAATACATCATAATCATCTTAGTGTATGTTGTTGACATGCTAATCACTGGGCCTAACCCGACACTAATAGCTGAGATGAAGACCAAGCTGCAGCTGACATTCAAAAAGAAAGATCTAGGAGATCTTAAATACTTTCTTGGCATTGAGTTTGCCAGGTCATAAAGAAGCATTCTAATGCACCAAAGGAAGTACACTCTATAGCTGATTTCTGAGCTATGTGCGAAGCACACCGAACCGGGAAGCCGTGCTAGCAGAACCAAGAGGGTTCTTGTCTATAGGACGAGTACAGAGTTACTACCAGGAGCATTGGGTACTTGCTGAGGAAGTGACAGTTGGAAAACAAAGAGCTTTGTTCTGGAATGCGGCGAAGCTATAACTTTGAGAATGCAATACTCACCGAGGGTACGTCCCAAAGAGTGATATAGTTGCCAATAGGGGACAAGTACATTGAGAAGTATCCTCCACATTGAGTGTGGGAGGATCCGCCTATGCAAAGGCGCTGGAACGGAATTGTGAGTCCTGAAGTAAGCTAAACTTTCCAAAGCAATGAGGGCGAATAAAGGGCTAAGCGAGTTGCTGAACTGCGTGAGCTATGCCTAAGCACATTGAGGTACATTTCCATTGAGGGAAGAACTTCGGACGGATGAAGGCCGTGAGGGTCATGGTGTGGCCGACTAGTGTGGGTCGCCACAAAGTTAGACACCAGAGGGTGCAAGTGCGGAGGCACTTTCCAAGCGAACACCGATAGGAGGTGCAGTGCAGAAGGCACGCTTGGAAGATACTTGGGAGGAGAAGTGCAAGGGGCACGACTCCATTTTGAGCTAGACTTTGAGGAAGTCTGTCCCACAAGGATTAAGGGAGGCAGTGCACATCCCTGAGGGGGTAGACTCCGGGTTGTCGTGGGCATTGTTGTGTCATCGGGGACGATGACAGGTTGAGTGTGGGAGGATGTCACACCCCAGAATTTGAGGGTCATGGCATCCATGAGTTCTGCGCGCTACAATGCGCCAGGACGAATGTCAGTCGCGTAAGCGACGTGTGCTGACAAAGCATTATGAAGGAACATCCGGCAGAGGGACTGTGTATGAGGCAACAACCATCAAGATATGTTGTGTTGCATGTCCTAAGTGTGCCAACATACTTAGTGGGAATCTAGAGATCTCGGCCGTAGGCCTTGCTCCTAGTATACCCTTATATATGCACGAAGGAAGGCCATTCTGATTCTCTCAACAGAACTAGACGATTACTGAATCTTGGGCTGATTAATTTTAAGCATATATAAGGGGGGTATAGGTGTTGAAGCTCAGCCTGCCTCCCCCGTGCGCGCTGCCATCAAGCCGCACCAAGTGAGCTACCTTGGGAGAGAACCTCAAGGGCCTGCCTAGACATCTCAAAGGAGTGTCTAATGTATCCATACGAGTTTGGGAACTCTATGGACGGCGCGACGCCTTAGGGCCATCGATGGGCACCAAGCGGGCACTGGAGGCTTGACATAAGGGATGGTTATGCCCTGCGGGCTATTGAAATAATGGATGAAGACCTCCGTGCCAATTGGATACTTGAAGAACCTTTCTTAGGGGCCTCATGTGTCGACTTGTGAGCTTAGCTTGGGTTCAGCTAGGCGAGCAAGGGTCCGTTGGCTTAGACGTGCAGTTGTGGGGCGACACTGCACTATGTGGGATGGAAGTATGTCGAGAGGGCTATGTTTGGCCATGCCATAAGACAAAGATAGACATGCTATGAAAGACGCATATGACAAAGGCCAAGGATTAAAGGTTGCCCTACTCGGGCGAAGCACAAGCTGGTTGCGAATGCACGAGGCGAGTGTCAAGCTTGAGGATTAGGCTGTACACGCGAGAGCGATGCTCAGTGCTAGGCGAAGTACGTACGTGTCCCTAGCCGACCCTGGGTGTGCACATGGATGATGATCCAGCAGATGAGAAGCGCCACAGCTAGTGTAGGCTAAGAGCCTAGACATCATATACGGGCCGCACAGTTGGAGCGAGTCATTTGAGCAAGCTCCACCCACAGGCACAGGATCGTGCTAGAAAACCTGTGATATACATGACTTTACCACAGGGCTTTTAGAGTTAGATGGAGACAAGACCAGTATGCAGACTTTTGAAATCTCTGTATGGGCTTAAGCAAACACCAAGACAGTGGAATGCTAAGCTGTCTGAGGCACTTCTGAAGTTTGGTTTCATGCAAAGCCAACATGATCACTCCCTGTTCATTAAAGAGTCAGGGGAACACATCATAATCATCTTGGTGTATGTTGTTGACATGCTAATCACTGGGCCTACCCTGACACTAATAGCTGAGATGAAGACCAAGCTGCAGCTGACATTCAAAAAGAAATATCTAGGAGATCTTAAATACTTTCTTGGCATTGAGTTTGCCAGGTCACAAAGAGGCATTCTAATGCACCAAAGGAAGTACACTCTATAGCTGATTTATAAGCTTGGACTGGGAGCTGCAAAACCTGCAGCAACACCTATTGAAGCCAACATCAAACTAACCACTAAGGAGTATGATGAACATACTAGCAGCTCTAATGCAACTGATGATGAAGTGTTAATAAACATCAATCAGTATCAAAGATTACAAGGGAAACAACTCTACTTAACTATCACAAGGCCAGACATAGCATATAGTATTCATACACTAAGCATGTTTATGCAAAAACCGAAAAGATTACATTTGGAAGCTACTCAAAGGGTGGTTAAATATGTGAAGAACCAACCAGGTCAAGCCATACTGTTGTCTAGCAAACAGAGAAACACTATCACTGCATATTGTAATGTAGACTGGGCAACCTGCCCTATCACTAGGAAGTCAGTAACAAGCTTCTTCATCAAGTATGGCGATTCTTTGATATCCTGGAAGTCAAAGAAACAAAGCACCATTTTTAGGGGCTCTGCAGAATCTGAGTACAGAAGCATTGCATCAACTATAGCTGAATTGGTGATACTTGGTCTGTTCAAAGACATTGGTATAGAAGTTGGCCTCCCCATAAACATCTACACTGATAGTAAAGCGGCAATTCAAATAGCTGCCAACCTAGTATTTCACAACGAACCAAACACATTGAAATAAACCTTCACTTTATAAGGGAGAAGATACAGAATGGTATGGTACAAACAGAATATGTAGCTACAAAAGAGCAATTACCAGACATTCTAACCAAAGGTCTACCACGAGTGCAACCGGAGTATTTGCTGTCCAAGATAGATGTACTTGATGTCTTTCTATCACCTAGCTTGAGGGGGAGTGTTGAGACAAAAGATGTAACTTGAATACAGGGGTAGTTTATTCTGTTTATGTGTTAGTAGATTAGTGTATTAGTTAGTTAGTTAATAATACATGTGATTGGTTAGTGAGGTGGTTAGAGTAGTTAGTAAAGCTTTGTATATATACAGCTTTTACAAGTAATGAAAACAGAGCATTCATTTCTCACTACTGTTACATTCATCTTCATGCTCCTTTTCTCTTCTCTCTTCTCCCTCATTAGTTAGGGTTCACATCTCTTCTCAAACCTCCATTCCATCAGCAACCAGTAATTAAACTATGTTAACGTTTATATCTAAAATAAATACTAATTAATTTTATTATTCATTTCTCTTCTGATTTAATTTTCCCTGCTTAACTTAAAAAAGGAAATAAATGTGATTCTAATAGCAAAAATATCATCCGTTGGGATAAATTCTTACGTCTTATTATACCTACTTATGGAGGAGTTGTTAATATACTATGTTTACAAAACATAGAGTGTACTCCTCAGTGATTGATGTTTATTAACACTTCATCATCAGTTGCATAAGAGCTGCTAGTATGTTCATCATACTCCTTAGTGGTCAGTTTGATGTTGGCTTCAATAGGTGTTGCTGCAGGTTTTGCAGCTCCCAGTCCAAGCTCAGAAATCAGCTATAGAGTGTACTTCCTTTGGTGCATTAGAATGCCTTTTTGTGACCTGGCAAACTCAATGCCAAGAAAGTATTTAAGATCTCCTAGATCTTTCTTTTTGAATGTCAGCTGCAGCTTTGTCTTCATCTCAGCTATTAGTGTCAGGTTAGGCCCAGTGATTAGCATGTCAACAACATACACCAAGATGATTATGATGTGTTCCCCCGACTCTTTAATGAACAGGGTGTGATCATGTTGGCTTTGCATGAAGCCAAACCTCAGAAGTGCCTCAGACAGCTTAGCATTCCACTGTCTTGGTGTTTGCTTAAGTCCATACAGAGATTTCAAAAGTCTGCATGCTGGTCTTGTCTCCATCTAACTCTAAAAGCCCTGTGGTAAGGTCATGTATATCTCATCATAGAGGGTCATGACATCCATGAGTTCTGCACGCTACAGTGCGTTAGGACGAATGTCAGTCGCGTAGGCGACGTGTGCTGACAAAGCATTGTGAAGGAATATCCGGCAGAGGGACTATGTATGAGGCAATAACCATCAAGATATGTTGTGTTGCATGTCCTAAGTGTGCCAAGAGACTTAGTGGGAATCTAGAGATCTCGGCCGTAGGCCTTGTTCCTAGTATGCCCTTATATATGCGCGAAGGAAGGCCATTCTGATTCTCTGACCTGAACTAGACGATTACTGAGTCTTGGGCTTTTTATTTTTAAGCATATATAAGGGGGGTATAGGTGTTGAAGCTCAGCCTGCCTCCCCCGTGCGCGCTGCCATCAAGCCGCACCAAGTGAGCTACCTTGGGGGAGAACCTCAAGGGCCTGCCTGGACATCTCAAAGGAGTGTCTAAGGTATCCATACGAGTTTGGGAACTCTATGGACGACGCGACGCCTTAGGGCCAGCGTTGTGCACCAAACGGGCACTGGAGGCTTGACTTGAGGGATGGTTATGTCTTGCGGGCTATCGAAATGATGGATGAAGACCTCCGTGCCGATTGGATACTTGAAGCACCTTTATTAGGGGCCTCATGTGTTGACTTGTGAGCTTAGCTTGGGTTCATCTAGGCGAGCAAGGGTCCATTGGCTTAGACGTGCAGTTGTGGGGCGACACTGCACTATGTGGGATAGAAGTATGTCGCGAGGGCTATGTTTGGCCATGCCATAAGACAAGGATTGGCATGCTATGAAAGACGCACATGACAAAGGCCAAGGACTAAAGGTTGCCCTACTCGGGCGAAGCACAAGATGTGTGCGGATGCACGAGGCGAGTGTCAAGCTTGAGGATTAGGCTGTGCACGCGAGAGCGATGCTAAGTGCTAGGCGAAGGACGTACGTGTCCCTAGCCGACCCTGGGTGTGCGCATGGATGATGATCCAGCAGATGAGAAGCGCCACAGCTAGTCAAGGCTAAGAGCCTAGACATCATATATGGGCGGCATAGTTGGAGCGAGCCATTTGAGCAAGCTCCACCCACAGGCACAGGATCATGCTAGAAAACCTAGGATAATTAAGGGTTGGCCTGTAGTGCGGGGTGACTGCAGGCGCCGCGCTGGCATTTTGGTGCCGCTAGCATCATTGAATAGCTAGGCCCTTGACACGTGGTATCAGAGCAATGTTAGGCCATATTCTGCCATGACAAATGATATGTAAGCAGAAGTTGAGATGGCGAGTGCATTTTGGATGTCGGTGTGGAGATCATATCAAAGCAGAGAGTGATGTTCATATGCCACCAGAGATCGAGAACCCGATACTACTGGTCCAAAAAGAGGGGATATGTTGCGTGAGTTATGGCTAGAATGTGCATTGACAGCCATGAACTTCAGCCTACAGAATCAGACCATGTCGTTGTCGTTGTTTCCGCCATCGTCTGTGTCTTGGGAGATGATTTTGGGGAATCCTAGTTTGATTGAGATATCGTAAGGGATGTATTCCATGCAATGAGTGCTATTTTTAGAGGTATACTATATAGGCACAATTGGTTTGCAAAGAGAGCCATTGTGCGATGTTGTTGGGATAGTTCCACAAGAAGGGACAGACGGTTAGCAGAAGCTCAATTGTCTTGATTGTGATGATCCGACAGTGTGTCAGAAACTCTGTCAACACTTGGTTAGCAGCTTTGCTAAGCAAGGCATGGTAAGGAATGTCGAACGGACTGAGAGTGTTCCTCGCAAGGGTTAAATACCGTTTGGACCATGAGGGTTCAGTAGCATTTGGGAGCTCGTCAGGTTGAGGCGTTTTGTTCATGTTAAGCAGCAAGTTGGAGCTGTTGGCCGTTTGACGAAGGAAATGGACAACCCCAGTTTCTTTCGTAAGTCTGTGCTCCAGTTGAATGTGATGATATGCCGATGAGTCGGGCGGTCAAGAAAAGGCCATGTTTGCCAGGTCGTGCAACCATATTTCCAAGAGGGTAAGTCATGGACTATAAACAAAGGGCATGATCCTGAAGAGATCCTGCCAAGGATGCGAGAAGCGCATCAGTTTGAGTGTCTTTCCTGCGGGTTAGACTTATGGGCTGCCTAAGGGCATTGAGATGTACCTAGCCATCTCAAGGGTTGCGATGAATGGTAGGAGAGTCCCTTGACAACCGCAAAGAAGGACCTATGTCGGGATTCTTAGCGGGAGTAAATGAGTGTCACAATGGGGTGGAGTCAGCCACCAAGGTTGTGAAAAAGAGCCGAACCATTTGATGGAGAGGCATTGTGCGGAATTGCTAAGGTGAGGAGACGAAATCGAAGGAAATAGCGAAGCTCCAGAATTGAGCGGGATTCCAAGTTAGACGGTGCCAAGTGATCGGGGACCATTGAGATGGGGCCATGTGCGAAGCACACCGAACCGGGAAGCCGTGCTAGCCGAATCAAGAGGGTTCTTGTCTATAGGGCGAGTACAGAATTACTAGCGGGAGCATTGGGTACTTGCTGAGGAAGTGATAGTTGGAAAACAAAGAGCTTTGTTCTGGAATGCGGCGAACCTATAACTTTGAGAATGCAATACTCACCGAGGGTACGTCCCAAAGAGCGAGATGGTTGCCAATAGGGGACAGGTACATTGAGAAGTATCCTCCACATTGAGTGTGGGAGGATCCGCCTATGCAAAGGCGCTGGAACGGAATTGTGAGTCCTGAAGTAAGCTAAACTTTGCAAAGCAATGAGGGCGAATAAAGGGCTAAGCGAGTTGCTGAACTGCGTGAGCTACGCCTAAGCACATTGAGGTGCTTTTCCATTGAGGTAAGAACTTTGGACGGATGAAGGCCGTGAGGGTCATGGTGTGGCTGACTAGTGTGGGTCGCCACAAAGTTAGACACCAGAGGGTGCAAGTGCTGAGGCACTTTCCAAGCGAACACCGATAGGAGGTGCAGTGCAGAAGGCACGCTTGGAAGATACTTGGGAGGAGAAGTGCAAGGGGCACGACTCCATTTTGAGCTGGACTTTGAGGAAGTCCGTCCCACAAGGATTAAGGGAGGCAGTGCACATCCCTAAGGGGGCAGACTCCGGGTTGTCATGGGCATTGTTGTGTCATCGGGGATGATGACAGGTTGAGTGTGGGAGGATGTCACACCCCAGAATTTGAGGGTCATGGCATCCATGAGTTCTGCGCGCTACAGTGCGCCAGGACGAATGTCAGTTGCGTAGGCGACGTGTGCTGACAAAGCATTGTGAAGGAACATCCGGTAGAGGGACTATGTATGAGGCAACAACCATCAAGATATGTTGTGTTGCATGTCCTAAGTGTGCCAAGAGACTTAGTGGGAATCTAGAGATCTCGGCCGTAGGCCTTGTTCCTAGTATGCCCTTATATATGCGCGAAGGAAGGCCATTCTGATTCTCTGAACAGAACTAGACGATTACTGAATCTTGGGCTTTTTAATTTTAAGCATATATAAAGGGGGTATAGGTGTTGAAGCTCAGCCTGCCTCCCCCGTGCGCGCTGCCATCAAGCCGCACCAAGTGAGCTACCTTGGGGGAGAACCTCAAGGGCCTGCCTGGACATCTCAAAGGAGTGTCTAAGGTATCCATACGAGTTTGGGAACTCTATGGACGACGCGACGCCTTAGGGCCAGCGTTGGGCACCAAACGGGCACTGGAGGCTTGACATGAGGGATGGCTATGCCCTGCAGGCTATCGAAATGATGGGTGAAGACCTCCGTGCCGATTGGATACTTGAAGCACCTTTCTTAGGGGCCTCATG